GTCACCAAACCGGACACCCTAAACGCTCTGGCTGCGCCTAGAAATTCTGTCCATAAACAAAATGAACAGAATCGGTGATAAAGGGCAGCCCTGGCGGAGTCCAACCGTCACCAGGAACGAGTCTGACTTGCTGCCGGCAATGCGGACCAAGCTCAGACACCGGTTGTACAGGGACTGAACAGCCCGGCACCCCATAGTCCCGGAGCACTACCCACAGGACTCCCCGAGGGACGCGGTCGAATGCCTTCTCGAAGTCCACAAAGCACATGTAGACTGGTTGGGCAAACTCCCATGCACCCTGCAGGACTCTGCCAAGAGTATAGAGCTGGTTCACTGTTCCACAGCCAGGGCGAAAACCACACTGCTGCTCCTGAATCCGAGGTTCAACTATCCGATGCACCCTCCTCTCCAGCACCCCCGAATAGACATTACCAGGGAGGCTGAGGAGTGTGATCCCCCTATAGTTGGAACACACCTTCCGGTCTCCCTTCTTGTAGATGGGGACCACCACCCCAGTCTGCCAATCCAGAGGCACTGCCCCCGATGTCCACGTGATGCCGCAGATGCGTGTTAACCAAGACAGCCCCGCAACATCCAGAGCCTTGAGGAACTGCGGGCGGCTCTCATCCACCCCCGGGGCCCGGCCACCGAGGAGCTTTTTAACCACCTCAGCGACCTCTGCCCCAGAGATAGGTGAGTCCACCCCCAAGTCCCCAGACTCTGCTTCCTCATTGGAAGGCGTGTCGGTGGGATTGAGGAGGTCTTCGAAGTATTCCCTCCACGGACCCACAACGTCCTGAGCTGAGGTCAGCAGTGCACCATCCCCACCATAAACAGTGTTGATGCTGCACCGCTTTCCCCAGACGCTGGATGGTGGACCAGAATTTCCTCGAAGCCATCCGGAAGTCATTCTCCATGGCCTCGCCGAACTCCTCCCATACCCAAGTTTTTGCCTCAGCGACCGCCGAAGCCGCATTCCGCTTGGCCTGCCGGAACTCATCAGCTGCTTCCGGAGTCCCACAGGCCAAAATGGCCCGATAGGACTCCTTCTTCAGCTTGCCGCCGCGACAAGCACCGACCACCTTACGGCCACAGCTCCGGTCAGCCGCCTCCACAATGGAGGCGCGGAACATGGCCCATTCGGACTCTATGTCCCCCGTCTCCCCCGGGATATGGGCGAAGTTCTGCCGGAGGTAGGAGTTGAAACTCCCTCTGACAGGGGATTCCGCCAGACGTTCCCAACAGACCCTCATTATACGCTTGGGCCTGCCAGGCCTGGCCGGCTTCCTCCCCCACCAGCGGAGCCAACCCACCACCAGGTAGTGATCAGTTGACAGCTCCACCCCTCTCTTCACCTGAGTGTCCAAGACATGTGGCTGCAAGTTCGATGACACGACTACAAAGTCGATCATCGAACTGCGGCCTAGGGTGGCCTGGTGCCAGGTGCACATAGGAACACCCTTATGCCTGAACATGGTGTTCATTATGCCTCGGGATTCCCCCGGAGGAGCTGGATGAAGTGTCCGAGGAGAGGGAAGTCTGGGTTTCCCTGCTGAGACTGCTGCCCCCGCGACCCGACCTTGGATAAGCGGAAGTAAATGGATGGATGGATGGATTTTATTATATTATATAAATATACATTTTAACATAATACGCCTCCCAGTGCAAATCTGCTGACACAGGAATAGCAGAAATGGCTCATCAGAAGAAAGATACTTTTACTAGTAATTCAAGGAAAAGCTTGAGCCCCGGGCTGTTGTGTAGTGGAGCACCTTAGACGGCCTTTTTTTTCCATGTGAAGGGCAACCAATAGCAATGTTTTTGCCACTTTAGGTGATTTCAATTTTATGAATTCATTGTTCTTGCATTTTTTTCAGAGACCAGACATGTTGTGTGATGGATTTCTTTGGCAGTTACATTGATATGGCTGCAGGAGGAGTCCCTCTCTGGAGATGCAGGAGCATAGAATGGGTGCGACCTACCTGTGAGTTTTCTTGACGTCGATCAAAAGCCAGAAAAGCATGATCTTAATGTAAATATCACAGTAACTCCCACAGGAAGTGAATGAATATTTCATAAAATGGCATATGCCAATAAATTCAGTTTGCATCAGATGTAATTTGGTCTGTGATGTAACGCCGGAGTAGAAGACAGCAGTGAATTAATACATTAATAGAAAATGTACAAATCCAATCTGGCTCAAAGGGAAAAAGTCCTGCTGACTGAATAATGTGTAGAATAAATTTGAGAATTGTCTTGACTTTTGGTCTGTTTTCATCTAGACCAGAAATGCTGTTGTGAAATGTGTGTCGTCTGCACTGTTAGACTCAGTATAAAATGTTCTCCTCGTTACAGTCAATGAAGAAATAAATGCCAGCAGGGAAGCCCAGACCTCCCTCTCGCCAGCCAGCTCCGCCGGGGGGAATCCCAAGGTGTTCCCAGGCCAGCCGAGAGATATGACCTGTCCAGCGTGTGCTGTTCCGGGGCCTACGACAGGAGGCCGCCCACACCAGCTATGTTACTGTAAAGTGTGTTACAGTAACACTTTTACCTCGCTGGTGTTTCCGTCCACACCAGCTATGTTACTATAAAGTGTGTTACAGTAACACTTTTACCTCGCTGGTGTGTTTGTCTATGGGAGTGCACCCCAAGGCCCTTGCCATCCTGCAGTGTCTCGACTCGTTATTTGTTATTCGTATTTTATTACACTACAGTGGGATAATTGTTAAATGTGGATAAAAAATAAATAAAAAAAAAAGGTAAAATGAAATCATAAAAAAAGGGGTGGGGAGAACCCATGGGACCTTTTTTGGACCAGCACTGGATGACGTTGTGTACCGTAAATTGGATCTAATGTGTAATGTTTCCGTTTCGTACAAACCAGGTGACAGTATCAAGTAAAATGGATTTTTTTTTTTTAAAGTGCCTTTGTATTCTGCCTGCTGCTTATATTTTATTTTAAATATGACCCATAAAATTATGCCTGATGACATTTTTGTGGTGTTCTTGACTCTTCCTTTCTTATACACCTAAATTACTAGTGTGTTTTGGTAATGAAAATTGCTTATGTAACTGGTGGAAAAACTTTGTTGTGTTGTGTTATGTGTTAAGGATGACCCAAGGCCATCTGAACTGCTGCGTTGGAGCTTTATTCTCTCTCTGCACAAAGCATATTCAAACAATTCGTTGGTCCTCCATACACACATCTCCATCTCCTCTTTCCAGAAGAATTTCAAAAAGGGAAAGAGGCGTATGTATTTAAGAAAAATAATAAAGCATGACACACCTACACAAAGCATATTAAAACAATTTGTTGGTCCTCCATACACACATCTCCATCTCCTAAAACAGCCCACAAACACAGGGTTACAACTCGTTAGCGAACCCACGCAAACATAGCTAATTTCGCTGTGAACCTAACCACATGTGGCGGGTTAGCAAAACACAACAAAAAAAAAAACATTTACACAATTAATATTACAAAAATAACCGACTAATACTGTATAAGAGACAAATATAGATAAAATGAAGGCAAATAAACTTATGTATGGCACAATTGGAAGTTAATATTTCACAGACTAACTTTTGGCTGACGTCACCCAAACGTCATTCCAAAAAGGGAAGAGGGAAGGGGAGTCACAAACAGATAAGGCAATGGGAGAAGGAGGAGCTACTAGGACCCCAACAGACGGTGTGCTGAGTGCCAGAAAACTAAAATACAGGCTAGAGCTCTTGTGCAATTATATTACAATACATAAGTGTATATACTTTTCAATCTGTTACAGTTATTACTGATTACATAGAAAAAAACACAGAATATGAAATATTAAGTTTAACCAAATGTGTTTACATCCACGATACACTCAAAATGGGGTCGTGTCAGACAGTGCAGTACAGGTTCTGTTTCTGACACGTCGGCAATACAAAATCCGCATTGACGATTTTTTGTAGTCCACGTTGTCCGTTACGTCGACTAATCATTGCAGCCCTAATTGTGTAACAATGTGTAAATCTGTTTATTTCAATCCCTAAACTGGGCAAAAACATTTCCAAACAATTTGCAAACAGTGCAAAACATTTTTCCACATTCCTAACACTGACGTGGATTCTCTCCTATGTGGATTCTTAAGCCTAAGCCATTAATTCAAAACATGGATTCTACTATGTGGAAGTTTTTTTTTTGTAGGAATAGTCTGCCGCATCTATTTGCCTGTGTGAAGTGCTGCAAAGCAGTTGTGTTCAGTTTGCAAGCAGAGGAACACCTTGCATGTCAAACACCGCACATTAGATTTCCCAGAGCAGCCTTTTTCTCTGCAACGCGTTGGGATTTTTAGATTGGCCATCTCAGGAAGATGTGCAGTACAGGTTGTGCGGACTGAGACGGGGGGTAGTGGAGAGACCTGACGTTTGTGAAGGGTGTGCATCCTCTTCTTATACACATTGGACATCAGTGTCACACTTCGTCAAGTATGCCTGAGCGACTGTCATGCAAAACTCATGGAACTGCATCACACCCTTTCTTGGTGTACCACGTTCATGGTTGTCCTGGCGATACAATAACCAGCTGTTGGCTAAAGCGAGACCAGTAAAATGCATCAGCATCCAAACTGTCCACTTTCTGGTTCTGATTCTCATTCTGTAGTAACTCATCATCCTGTCATTTAAGTCAAACCCACCCATCTTGGAGTTGTACTCACACACAATGTTTGGTCGTGTAGCAGCCACATATCGCTTCTCTTTCTTGCACCATCTCCGGCAGGTGTCTGATGCTGAGATGCCTCTTGCTTGTGCTTTCATGGTTTTGTCACTTGGTAGTTTCTGCAGTGCTTTGGTGACCCCGTTCTTCATTACTGTACCAGTAAGGTTCCCCTGCTTCTCCAGCAATCGATCCATAGCTTTTGTGGTGGTGATGAACCGATCACAGTACCAGGAGACAGAGTTTTTGCCAAACGTTCGATGACCAATGCTCCCAAGCCCAGATCCTTCACTTCCTCAACCTGTGAGCTCAGTGTGATTGCACCTTGATAGACCTCAAAGTCCAGAACGATGCCATCTGTTGAAGTTCTTCATGCCAACCGGGTTGGGCTTTGCTGGCACATACTGTTGGAATGGATAAGCTTCTGTGAATGGGATCATCTGTTCGTCGATTGACACACATTCCAGTTGAGGCTGATGCAAGCAGCCTTTGAGAATGTGATCCATGAAAGGCCTTGTCTTCCAGAACCTGTCAGCTTTTCTAATTGCTTCTGAAATGTCATAATCAATGACATGTGGATGGTGTTGTGGCTCATCCTCCCTGCTCTGCTCATCACTGTCAGAAGCATCACTGCTCTGCTCATCTGATTCTGGTGTAGTAGGTGGATAGTAATCCTCATCACTTAGTTGTTCCTCCCCAGGATCATCATCATGATCAGGTTCTGGCTCCTCAAGACCTGGATGTTCAAAACCACATCCTTTGGATCCCACAGCTTGACCGCCACTAGTTCCTGGCTCAACATCGAAACTGTTACCTCGCTGGCATTTATGCCCACGTGCTCTGGATCCCACACAGTGTTGTGCACTAGCTCCTCGGTCATAATCAACACTTTTACCTCGCTGGCGTTTCCGCCCACATCTTCTGGATCTCTACCTCTCCACTATCACTGCTCTGTTGACCAGATCTATCCTCACTGCTCTGCTGACCATGTTCTACTATATCTCCATCAATTGTAAGATCATCAGCATCAGACAAATCCTCCACCTCAGAGATGTTTTTATTTATTAATATTTATTATTACTTGCACTTTTTCTCACAACCCACTATCCATATATTACATACTGTGTATGAGTGTACATAGGCACTACTGTTGTATTTAGTGTTTTATCTTACAGTTGCAAGAAAAAGTATGTGAACCCTTTGGGATTACGTGGAGTTTTGCATGAATTGGTCATAAAATGTGCTCTGATCTTCATCTAAGTCACAACAATAGAAAAACACAGTCTGCTTAAAATAATACTACACAAACATTATATGTTGTCATGTTTTTATTGAACATAACATGTAAACAATCACAGTGCAAGGTGGAAAAAGTATGTGAACCCCTAGCCTAATGCCTTCTCCAAGAACTAATTGGAGCCAGGAGTGAGCCAACCTTGAGTCCAATCAGTGTGATGAGATTGGAGGTGTTGCTGAAAGCTGTCCTGCCCTTTAAAACACACACACCAGTTTTGGGTTTACTGGTTTCAAGAAGCACTGCCTGATGTGAACCATGCCTCGCAGAAAAGAGCTCTCAGAAGACCTACGATCAAGAATTGTTGACTTGCATGAAGCTGGAAAGGGTTACAAAAGTATCTCCAAAAGCCTTGATGTTCATGTGTCCACGGTAAGACAGACTGTCTACAAATGGAGGAAGTTCAGCACTGTTGCTACTCTCCCTAGGCGTGGTCATCCTGTAAAGATGACTGCAAGAGCACAGCGCAGAATCCTTAATGAGGTGAAGAAAAATCCTAGAGTGTCAGCTAAAGACTTACAGAAATCTCTGGCACATGCTAACATTTACAATAAAGAAAACATTAAACAAGAATGGAGTACATGGGAGGACACCACGGAGGAAGCCATTGCTGTCCAAAAAAAATATTGCAGCACGTTTGAAGTTTGCAAAAGAGCACCTGGATGTTCCACAGCACTACTGGCAAAATATTCTGTGGACAGATGAAAGCAAAATTGAGTTGTTTGGAAAAAACACACAACACTATGTGTGGAGAAAAAAAGGCTCAGCACACCAACATCAAAACCTCATCCCCACTGTAAAACATGGCGGAGGGAGCATCATGGTTTGGGGCTGCTTTGCTGCCTCAGGGCCTGGACGGATTGTTGTCATTGATGGAAAAATGAATTCCAGAGTTTATCAAGACATTTTGCAGGAAAACGTAAGACCATCAGTCCGCCAACTGAAGCTCCACAGAGGATGGGTGATGCAACAGGACAATGACCTAAAGCATACAAGTAATTCAACAAAAGAATGGCTTCAACAGAACAAAATATGCCTTCTGGAGTGGCCCAGTCAGAGTCCTGACCTCAAGTCGATTGAAATGCTGTGGTGACCTTAAGAGAGCGATTCACACCAGACATCCTAAGAATATTGCTACACTGAAACAGTTTTGTGAAGAGGAGTGGTCCAAAATTACTCCAGATCGTTGTGCAGGTCTGATCTGCAACTACAGGAAACGTTTGGTTGAGGTTATTGCTGCCAAAGGAGGGTCAACCAGTTATTAAGTCCAAAGGTTCACATACTTTTTCCACCCTGCACTGTGATTGTTTACATGTTGTGTTCAATAAAAACATGACAACATATAATGTTTGTGTAGTATTATTTTAAGCAGACTGTGTTTTTCTATTGTTGTGACTTAGATGAAGATCAGAGCACATTTTATGACCAATTCATGCAAAACTCCACGTAATCCCAAAGGGTTCACATACTTTTTCTTGCAACTGTATTTTATTTTTTATTTTTTTCTTGTATTTTTATATTCTTGGATTACTCTTGTACTCTTTTCAGGCTATCTGTCTAGAGCTGTGGTAACGCACAAATTTCAGCACTGTGGGATCAATAAATTCCTATCCTATTGCTTTCAGTAAACTTTCTGCTCTTGACAGAGTAATGTATCCTGGACATGAATTACGTAAGAATAAAATTTACAATTGTGTTACAATTTAGACTAAGCAATAGTTATTTATACTCTAACTGGTTTCTTCACAAGCTGTTTCCCTACTTTTACAAAAGCTCAGTTTCCATGAACTAAGCCCCAATGCCCCAACTTTAGTGGCATTGTATCTTGTCACTATTGCTAAAACTTGTCAAATTCTTATGCCATTTCAAACTACAGACACGTATAAGTATAAAAACACGTGTCAACCACAAAATTGGATCAGGATTAGTATCTTGCCCACTTTTGTTTCGGGAGGTGCCATAGAAATACAGTGGTACCTCGGTTCTCGAACTCACTAGAACT